TGCCCCCTACCTTGATCCAGGGTGAGAAAGGCAATGATGATGATATCGATGTTCTTATTTAAGGGATGGTGGGGCACCTGAAGGTTATCTCGGCTATTACAAACCACAGAGAGCCAATTTTTCTGTGGGACATCTGTATCATTTGGGAATTTAAAGTCTATTCTTTTTAAAAAGCCAATTTGATAGGAGCTGACAAAATGGGTTACTTTTTGCAATCCAGAAATGGAGATATTGACCAAAAATCGACTCTAGGATCAAACTTATAGATGTCTTATTGATTTCATATTTTTAAAGTATAACAAGCCCTTTATGATTTCATACTTATAGATAGTAAAAACTTCCCCTATAAGCGTGATGTATATATTTCCATGGGTATAAAATTGGAGAAGTTAATCATTTTGTCAGCACGCTTAAAACATCTTGTTCGGTTACCATGGAACCGGCGGTCATTTTGGATTTTGTATACCTATTTTGATTCCACTTTATTTGTACAGATAAAGAAGAGATCTAAAAAATTGTTTTGAGGAATTTATTTTTATATATGCTTTAGTTTCCATCGTGGCACTTGAAAATCGGCTTATTGCATTATTGTGACTCCCCCCCCCCCCCCCCCGGAAAAATCAAGCTATCGGAGGCCATTTATCAAAAGCTAAATTTGCACCCCAAAAAAATTCATCTATACTTTTTTTTGATATTATTAACACCGCAGAAATAGAATCGGGGTTTCCTTCCAAAACTTAAGCATATAAGCGGTACAAAACATGTGTTTTAAAACAAAAAAAGTATTTACTCTTCAAAAGTCCCTACCCTCTGCTCTAAAATGACTTCAAACACCACTTTAGGATACAGAAACGCTTACATACGTGTTTGGACATTGTTCAGGAAATATCCAGGAAATACAAAAAGTAATCACCCCAGTTTTCATAATTTCACCCAAAAACACAATTTTTAGGTGCCCTTAACACCAAAAACTGTCTTCCAGAATCGGGTTCACTTTATTGGTTTCTCTCTTTTTTTACTTTCTTTCTTTTGAGGACTTCTGAGGTCAGGTCAATGCGCTCAGCTTTACGAATATATGTGCAACGTCGTGGTGAAATCAGGCGCTCGTCCAAAATAATGAAAAAGAAGAAACCGACTTTTTCCCACCTTTGAGTAATTTTATTCTTTTTAAAAAAAATATTCGGGATAGGTATATTTTATGCCAATTTAAAATTGCACTCCTGCGTGGACTTTACTGAAAGTCGTTGATCAACAGCACAACCCCCCCCCCCCCCCCTCCCCTTCCCGCCCCTTGCCAAAAAATATCCCAACAAAAACACAATTAATTTGCAGTTTCATCGAGTGTTTTCTTCCGTCTACTGGAAAGTTGTATTCTTCTCAGCTCTAGTAGACCCTCACAGGCAAGTCCGAAGCAGCCTGCCTCCAGAATAAATGTTTAATTGTGGTGGAGGACCCGAGAAAGATGCACAGTTACAGTGTACGACTATGTTGGTGTTTCTGTGTGTGTGTGGACGAAAGCTAGTGTTGATTCTTTTGTTCTTTGTCTTTCTTTTTAATTTTTTTCGGGGGGGGGGAAGGGGGGAAGGGGGAAGGAAAGTTAAAATACAATGTTTTTACCCTGCTTTCCACACAAGTTAGATAATTTAGGAGGCGGGCCTCGGACCCCACTCTCACGGCCAACCCACACCTCCCAGTTGAAAGACCGAGATACACGATAATTATTTTCCCTCACTTGGGACTAGAACCCAGTTTTCCTGCGTGCGACAGCGAAGCGCTATCCGTTGTACCACAGACGCCAATGTTAGTTTGTAGTTGTTGGAGACTCTTTATCCAGTTGCCAGCGCCGTAAAACCACTTACCAAAACAAAAACAAACCTCATAGTTTTTCTAGTGTTGTGTACCTAATAAGACCATTATCTTATGTTTTACATCCCTATCTATCTATCTATCTATCTATCTATCTATCTATCTATCTATCTATCTATCTATCTATCTATCTATCTATCTATCTATCTATCTATCTATCTATCTATACATCCGTGTTGAGCGGGATTCTGCAGCTCAGCACAAAGATGGAGATTCTCGATAATGCTGACTTCTT